AAAATTATGAGTACATTCACTTAAAAAAAGTAAATAGAAACTAAACAGTCTTGTTAGCAGGTATTTTGTATATATGATACTCCGTAGAATTTAGGATTGGGTATGGATAACTAGATTGGGTAATAAGACACTTGGGCTGAATCATATTAAAAGATTGAATCCAATCAATTAGTTAGTTTAACTCAAGAGCTTATATACCGGATTATTTTATTCTTGGACTTCCGATGTGGGATGCACTCTAACAATATATATGCTTGCACAAATACTTGACTCGAGGTCTCGAGTATTGAAAACGCGGTAATTTAAAGCAGTTTGACCATAAATTTCTTTACCCGCTAACAAGTGTTCAAGGAAGCAACTATACCTTCCAATTCCAATTATCTCTGCTACATCATCAATAGCATTGCATAGATAGATTATATTCTTGGAGGGAGATTTAATTTGTTTTTACTAATAAAGAATTTGTGGGAAGCAACATGGCTTATTTGGGAGTTGGGGGCCTCACCTACCTTTGGTCTACCCTAAAAGAAGTTAAAAATGAAAAAGGAAGAAACTTTTGACTGCTACATGCATTGGGCTGGCTAATCACGGCTTCAAGTAGAACAACAACAATCAAGTGAGAAAAAAGGGGAGAGGGCGGTTCCCTTTCAATTAGAAAATTGAAAGCGGTTAAGTAAAGCACTTGGACGTAATTAATTACTCCATCCGTCCCACTGTGTTTGTCCACTTACCTTTTGACACACTATTCAATACACTTCTTTAACCCATTTTATCTTGTAATTTGTATATTAAAAAATTATACAAATTATATATTAATAATCTATATGTTAAGACAAATCAAACAAGATCACACATGACTATATTTAGGCTTACACATTGAGAGAATTTGATGAGTCAAAATGCTTAGATAAACAGTTCTAAAAGTCAAAAGTGGACAAAGAAAGTGGAACGGAAATAGTGTAGGGAAAAGTAAATCTTGGTTGTCTCACTTTATCTTTTATCAAATAATGACAATGTAATGCACTGCACAAATAGTGTAGGGAAAAGTAAATCTCCAATCCGGGCCATGCAAGAAAGGTTTCATTATTGTTCACCACCTTCAAACCCTCCCCACTAAGATTAAACACAAGAAAAACAAAGCTAGGACCCGCACACCAAGTGTATCACAGACGCACACAGACAATAATTGTCTCAAAAATGGAATTGTAAACAATATTATAGTAGGGAGTAAATCTATGCAAGACACAACATAGTGTGTCATAGTCTCTGTTGGTCTCTTCTTTGAGGAATTTAAGGTACTCCACTACCACTAGAAAAATTTCCCTATACAATGGGGCCCACTTCTCTCTTTTCCTATCCTATAAATAAAAGGACTCCTTTCCTTGGTTTCGTGCATATATCACTTCCCAACAATAATATAGCTTCTTCCACCAAGCCCTTCATCAACTAATTAGGACATAATATAATTGCCTCCCCATACCCCTTCACTAATACAATTGTTTAGAAAAAAATGCAGCCGGTTGAGATCACAAGTCTCAATTACCCAAACATATATCCATCCCATCATGTTGGGTTCAACAACAACATCCCCGAATTTCAACTGAGCGGCGGGATATGTAATCCTGCCGCATCGTACTATTTCCAGATGGCCCCACATGTCCAGGAATTCAATGCGCACGGGCCGTGTTTCAGCAACAACTCGACATCGGATGAATCAGAAGAGCAACAACTGAGCCTCATCATCGAGAGGAAGCAACGGCGGATGATATCGAACCGGGAATCCGCTAGGAGGTCGCGCATGCGGAAGCAAAAGCACCTGGACGAGCTCTGGTCCCAGGTGCTTTGGCTCCGGAACGAGAACCACCAGCTTCTCGAGAAACTGAACCAAATATCGGAGTGCCACGACGTGGCGCTCCAAGAGAACGCCCAGCTCAAAGAAGAAACTTTGGAGCTTCGCCAAATGGTCACCGAGTTGCAACTTACCTCCCCATATTCCAACTTCAAGAATCTTGATGAAGACCACTTCTGTGGCTCATCTTAGAACTCCACAAGTATGATGAAAAAGTTTGGGGAACTCCACTTTTGACACCAAAAACAAACACGGACAATAACGGTCTATCCAGGAGTATGTGTGGGTGTTGGTATTGTGTTTCTCTTAGGTGTCAAAAGTGGTGTCAAAAGTGAGGTTCTCCTAACGTTGTCCTAATTATGACGCGTGGATGGTCCCTCTACTCTATTATTGTGTTGAAATGGACCTTTGTTTTGTCTCATCTTTGTCCATCCTTTTATGTGCTATTATGCTACGAGTATTCAATAAGGATTTCATATGAGCAGTGGAATGAGAAAGAGGTAAATTTTAAAGCAACTATATAGGTTTTTGTCTTTTTTAACTACTTCAATTCATTGTTGAATGCACAAAATGATTGATGCTAAAATAAAAGGGGGGGTGGAAAAGTACTCGTTCTGGACTTCAGAACCTGCAGGAAAAAAAAACTTTTAAAAAATCCAACCTGATTAAATAATTAATGTCTCCAAAAGATGTGTTCTTTCTTACTCTGCATAATTTTAAATATAGTTGAAAATGTATGGTTAATCAAGTAGATTTACAAAGAAGAAGAAAATATTGTGAGCCATGTAAATTTGGACATGAAAATATTCTGACTAAATAATTCCTCCCTTTCTTTTGTTGAGTTTGTGCATTAGAGAAAAAACATTGTAAACCACATATTTTTCAAATATAAAAAAGATGACAAGTTTGTGGGTACCACATTGTTATCAATAATAAGGAAAAAGCTATAGTGACACCAAGTTTGACAAAATTTACATTACAACATACTCCTTAACTTATATGGGTTGTTTTAGGGTAACTCTAGCATTTTGAGTTACCATGACCAAATACTTTGCATAGACACATACAAACGATAACTTAACTATCATGCGGCAACGATAGTTATTTTCTGTGCGTACCTTCAAAACATAAAGTCATGATTACCCTAAAGTGTTGGGGTTACTCTAACTTTATTCAACTTATATAAGCCGATGAAGATTCTTTAATCGATTTGTGTGTTTAAGAAGTTCTAACTCGGAGCAAATTTTTATATGGTCCTTGAGTTCATACTCAATTTATGGAGCTTAATGCATACATAAGTATCATGTAAGAGTTGAACTTGTATGGACCTTAATACACAAGTACCATGTAAGAGTTGAGCTTTTTGCAAAGAGTAGTTATTCCGTGGTTCTAAGATCCACATGTAAAATATAGACCTTCTCACATTTTTCATGGACTGGCAAGTGAATATTTTTTCTTTTTCCAAAAGACTCAATTCTTTTACGTTATCAATACACTAAAGTCTATAAAATGAGTATGAATCTTAGGATCACGGAAGAATTTATCTTTTGCGTTTTGAAAAAGATAAAAGATATACGTGTAAGCTATAAAAATGTGAGAATATTCACATTTTTTATGTGGAGCTTATGGCCACGAAACTAAACTCTTAACTTGGAGGTGGTCGCAACATGGTCATTCTTTGATGTGCTGATTGTTTTCTTGACGGTTGGTGCATTTTTTTGGCCGCATATACTTGGTGGTCATAACAATTTTTCTTACCGCTCATTGATTGGAAGAAAAAAATGAGTGGAATGAAAAGAAATTAGAAAGAATTTGAATTTTTCAAAAGTTAGTTTGGGGAGGTAGAAAATAGAGAAGAAAGAATAGAAATAAAACCAAATTGGTTAGTTTGTTTGGATGGAAAAGTGAAAAGAGAGGAAAACATTTCAAAAGAAAATGAGATTTTTACCCTATATTAATAAACAATTTGTAATATTTTTTTAGCACTTTGTTCTATTTATAATAATAGCTTTATTTAGTACTTACTGCTCTTACGTCCCAAATTAATTTTCTTTTTTTCTTTTCGGAAAATCCTAAAAAAATCATGTTCCTTTTTTGGAAAGGTTTTGGTTGCTGAACATATTTCTTTTTCCTCTGAATCACTTTCAATCATCCACGTTCACACTTTTCTTAAAATTTGTGTCATACCCAATCAAAACGATAAAAATTGAACTGGAAAAGTATAAAATAAACATAATATGTTTTTATAGAATATATTCCTTCCCTCTCAAATTAAATAATCTATTTACGATTTACAAGATCAATCTTCATTTATTGTTTTTCTCTATTTTTGTCAATTATTTGATAAAATAATATAATAATGTCAGCTCTTGTTTCATGGAAGTTTAGATGTAGTTTTTAAATAAGTAAATTTTATTTTTTAATTCCACCCCAACTCTCAAATAAATTTTCTTGAAAAAATAAATTAAGTAAAATATCGTAAATCAAAGATGTGATTAAAGTATATCGAAAATTTGATAAAATATCGTAAATCGAAGATGTGATACTTTCAGTATCAACTACAAATCCTAAATTTAGTAATTAAAAAAACAAGAAATCGTCGTCTAAAGCAAAATGAAGAAGAAATTGTTGAAAATGTGAAGTGTTAGAGGCGTACTGTCTGCTTGAAGGAGTAAGACTTTGATTTCTTTGGGTAACATCTAAATAAAATATTTAGTAAGCGAAGTGAACATATATACAAGAATGGAACGAACATACCCGAGCACCAAAAGAAGAGGGCACACAGGCCACCCAACGACAACACCGACATCGGAAATGCAACAACAGCAAGCAAGACAATTGTAAACATAGCCCAGTTGTCTAACTAACTTGTAACAAACTAAAAGTCAAAATCAAAAGAATAAAATAGATCTACAAGTATCTCTACATCCCCCCTCAAGCTAGAGACGGTCGAAGGCCCAACCCAAAAGATAAGGTAGCATGTTGTGTTGAGTACGGGCATAAAGATTGGAAGCTATTTGTTGGGCAACCTTGTTGTCACAAAACATGGTAATAGGCAAAGAGACTACATACAATATGAAGATCATGGAGCAAATAAGTCAACCATAGAAGTTCACAAGTGGTGGCAGCCATGCTTTTATACCAAAGCATGAACCAAAAATATGCAATAGCTAGTGAGAGATCTGCGTGTCATAAGAAAAGAACCCCGGTCAGCATAAGAAAAACATGTCGGTTGAAGCTTCTGCTGAATAGGATAATGGTTCCTTTAAGGTAATGGCCGGAGAACATAGGCGACAGCTTGCATATGTTGAGTAGTAAGAGCAGAAACAAATTGGCTCAAATGTGGAACACCATAAAAACCTTCAAGTCGTGTAAGACCAAGATATAGAAGTCTGCCAACAAGACGCCTGTATGGTTCAGGGTCTGGAAGTGGTTTGCCAGAATATAGTGAAAGCTTCAAATTCTGTGGTAAAGGAAACATGGTAGGTTTGGCACCTTTTATTTAACCCAGCATCTAACAGTATTTCCATTTTCCAAGATGTACTTGTGTTGATGAAGGATAAGACTATCTTTAGTTGGACAAATTTCTATTCCAAAAAATATTTAGCTGCCCCTAAGTTCTTAGTGGTAAACTTCATATGCAATGCAAATTTAGTTGCTAAAATCTCAGAAAAGCGAAGTTCGAGTGAGTAACATACCATTAACATAGAGTAAAGCAACTGTTAAGGCTTGAGCATCCTTTTTAACAAACATGGAATAATCTTGTTTGGGTTGGAAATACTCAAGACTGAGTAACAAGAAATGTGCTGACCACCAAGTTCCATTGGCGAGAAGCCTGTTTAAGGCCATAAAGGGACCTATAAAGTTTAAAAACCTGAACAGGGAGAGCTGTGGTGTAACCCTCAGGAAGAAGCTTGTAAATGCCTTCATCAATATGACCATGGAAGAAGGCATTGTTTACATCTAATTGGTATAGGGTCAATTAAAAGCTGCAGCCAGAGTAATTATCACTCTAACAGTAGGAAATTTAGCAACAGTAGAAATGGTATGTTTGTAATCTTTCCCAAGCTTTTAATTATGACCCTTGATCACCAACTTGGCCTATAATCTATCAACAGAGCCATCTGGATTATGTTTACCCTATACACCCATTTAAAACCAATGGCTCTATATCCCTTTAGTAAAGATGTTAATATCCACATGTTATTAGTCTCAAGGGCATCAATCTCTTTAACCATGGCAGTGACACAACATAGGTTTTGTTTAGCTTGAGGATAAGTAGCAGGTGTATAGATAGTTAATACATTAGCCAAGAAATGTTTGGCCCAACTAGGATTGGCCCAGTATATGTTTGGGTCCAACTAGGATTGTCCCGGTTTATTTTTAGCCCTTTTGTTTTCTTTTTCTTGGGGAACAAATTTCGTAGCCCTAGGTTTCTCCTATATATTGAGCCCTTGTACTTGTAATCTTGGGTACACGAAAAGTGAATAAAATCCTCCTGTTGCAGCCGTGGATTAGGGAAACCGAACCACGTTAATTCTTGTGTGTCGTTTGTTTTCCGTTCTCTCATTTTTTCTCGGAGATATTTGTGTGTTGTGTGTTTAATTCCCAACATAATTGGTATAGGGTCATTTAAAAGCTGCAACCAGAGCAATTATCACTCTAACAGTAGGAAATTTAGCAACAGTAGAAATGGTATGTTTGTAATCTTTCCCAAGCTTTTAATTTATTATGACCCTCGATCACCAACTTGGCTTATAATCCATCAACAGAGCCATCTGGATTATGCTTAGTCTATACACCCATTTAGAACCAATGGCTTTATATCCCTTGAGTAAAGATGTTAATATCCACATATAATTAGTCTCAAGGGCATCAATCTCTTTAACCATGGCAGTGACACAACATGGGTTTTGTTTAGCTTAAGGATAAGTAGTAGGTGTATAGATAGTTAATACATTAGCCAAGAAATTGGTGAAACCAGGGGTTGAGGATAATAAAGTATAGAAAAAAGATGATGAGCTGTGGAACAATTGGTTTAAACATTGTGAGGAAGAGACGAAGAGTACGTACGACAAATATAGTCTGAAAATTTAGCATGGAATTTAGTAGTTGTATGTGGTCTATATATAGTTGAGTAGTGGAAGAGGATTATGAGAGAGTATGGGAGACTGTGGAAAGAGTGGAGCACAAGCAGTAATCGAATGCTCATTGGGAGGAATAGTAGTAATTGGATATTCACGGGAAGGAATAGCATGACCAATTTGGGGAGTAGGTTCTGGGTGAAAAGTAGACATATTGTCATCATCTATGACATTGAAAAGACTGGGAGAGAAGGAATCTGGGCTGGTTTCTGCGGAAGAAGAATTGGATTTGTAAGGAAGGATACTTTCAGGGAAAATCATATCTCTACTCAAAAAATCCGGTTTTGGTGTTGAGGTCAAATAGTTTGAAGCCTTTTTTAGCAGTAGGATGGCATAGAAGAATGCATTTTCTTCCTCTAGGAGCAAATTTATCATGAGAATTATTTGATGTCACCTTGGCATAACATAAACATCCAATAGTTTTAAATGTTCATACTTAGGTGAATGACCAAAAAGGGCTTCAAAAGGGGTTTTCCAAAATAATTTGGCCATGGGTATTTCGTTTATAAGGTATGTGGCTGCAAGTATACAATCTACGCAAAAAAATGATAGGAAAATTGGCATGAAATCTAAAAGCTCTAATTGTTTCTAAGAGATGTCTATGTTTTCTTTACACTACTCCATTTTGTTGATGGGTATAGGTCATGCTTTTCTAATGAATGATACGTTGGAGAAAAGTTTATGGCATTCAGACTTACTATCTCAGTCCCATTGTCACTCCCTACACATGTAGATTGGGTGTGATGGTGATTTTGCACATAATGTAAGAAGGTTTGAAGGACATAGCATACCTGGTCCTGTTATGCAGCAAATAAGCCCAAGTAGCTCGAGTTTTATCATCAACAATGGTTTTAAATGTTTTGCCCAATTAAAAGCTGGTTTATAGTGACCTAATCTCACAGGAAGTCTATACAGACTCTTTATTGGACACTGACATTTGAATAAAAATAAGCAGGTCTTGAATAGTGACTTTCTGCGGAGGCAGAGGTGAGTGAAGTAACTTTGGCCACATAAGAGGAAGGAACTTTGATAGTGTAAAACCTTTGTATCCTGCTCCAGAAGCCATGATCTAGTTAGTAGTTATAAGGTCCTGGAACATGAATGGATTGTGTAAGAAATAAGCTAACCAAGACTTACTGAAAAGTTTTTTTCCAGTAGAAAGAAGGTTGAATTTAAAGTCTGGAACATAGAGAACATCTTATAAGATAAAGTGTGGGTTAATGAAGACCTGACCCATTTTGTGCACATTTCTAATGGTGCCGGCAATAGGAATAGGAATTTTTAAAGCAACAAGGTTATGGAAAAGGGTTTGATGAGGAGACATGTGATGAGAGGCTCCTGAATCAACTATCCAATGACACTCGTCAACCACATTATTGCTCAACTATTCAGAACAAAGGGTGAATCAGGTGCCATACATGTAAAGTTGGTGGAGACCACATTAACTTCATGGAGTTCTCCTTGCTCAGCTTTTCCTTTGAACATTTTCGCTACTTCTTGGCTTATAGCTGAAACAACCTTTTGATCAACCTGCATTTTGTGATTCTGACTGCCACTAATTCAAATGAAGATTCTAAAACTGATTCTTCAATCCTTTCATTGGAATTGAAACTGAGCTTGAATTTTGCCACATGCTCTATGGAGTCTTCTTCCATGCGAAGATATTGATTCCAATGGATTTTGATGTACTTAAGGCTAAACCAGCATTATCTTGTCTAGTGAGTCCATAAAGATCAAGTACAGTGCTCCGTTGTTCTTCATCGTTCGATTTCACCATTGAAGACGACTAGAGCTTAATCGCAAGAAGCTAGACAAAGCTATAGATGATTGAACAATAGTTTTGAGAGATTATTCTTATGCGAAAGCTCCGATACCATGTGGAAATCAGAAGATGAAGAAGAAGAAGAAAGAAAGAAAGAAAGAAAGAAAAATTAACAAGAACAATTTAATTGTGTATTCATTCTAACAGACTTACACACAAGAAACTTATATAAAGGGAGTATATAAAAGGAAAAAAAGATAAGGACAGTTGTAAACATAGCCAGTTCTCTAACTAACTTGTAACAAACTAAAAGTGAAAAAATAAAAGAATAAACTGGATCTACAAGTATCTCTACAAAGGCTCGCAGACCAAACCAAGAGAGTGTATCAGAGTGAAGATTTGAGGTGTGCAAAGGTTGTGCAGTATCCTCAACAACCCAGGTCGTACCAAAGGTAGTCTCCCGCTTAGCAACAACCTTTTCACAACCGATACCTCAAACAACAAGAAACACAAGCAATCATACAAGGGGGAACAAGTTATACTAAATTCTATAAACCACAACTTTGATTTTAGAAACAAGAGAAATCATATCTAAAAATGAGTGATCAAAGCATACCGCATTCCTTGTGCTCCAAATGTAGTACACCGTAGCCACGATGATTTTAATTAAAGAGTGAGCAATTGTGGAATTTTAGCATTCCCACCTTTTCCTCCCTACTTTCCTGTCCATGGGTGCAGAGAAAAAAAGTTGTAGGCCAAATGCATTATTCAAATTCTCCTCCCTACTTTTTAACACTACCAATCAAGGAAAAAAAAATCTTCATTTTCCTTGACCTTTCCTTCCTTCCATTTTGCCTCAAACAAAGAAGCTATTACGGTGTGAAACGGTGTTTGGTTGGTGATTGCAACTTTTTGGGAGATGTTGGAATTACAGAGTTACAGAGATAGTTTTGAATTTGTTAGAAGTTGGAAGTTGGTTAGCTAGATATTTTTTCTTGGTATGTTTGTTACGGTAGTTAACAGTGTTTAGCACATGCTTATTTTGTGTTTGCTATAGGCTGGCAGCCTCCTTTATATACCTGTACTGTTCCAATTTCAATTTGAGTAATGAAGAGAATTTTCCTTTCATTCCTTCTCCTTCTTTGTTTTATCTGCGCATCAATGAACTCCAACATGGTATCAAAGCTCGGATAACAAATCTTTCTTCTCTCTTCTCTTCGAATCTGATTCTCGATCTTATACTTTGGCTTTAATGGCGATGAATACACCAAATCCTCATACAATTGATCCTACAGATCCATTGTATCTTCATCCTTCGGATCATCCAGGTCTTATCCTAATTCCTCAGAAATTTGATGGAGATGGCTTCGGTTCTTGGCAAAAATCGATGACGATTGCTCTTTCCGCCAAAAACAAGCTCGACTTCGTGAAAGGAAGAATTGCCAAATCGAATGATCCTTTGAAGGCAGGTATTTGGCAGCGATGTAATGACATGATTACGTCTTGGATTCTCAATACTCTGAGCAAGGAAATAGGTGATTGTGTTCTCTACGCCAATACTTTTGCTGATCTATGGAATGAGCTCAACGACATGTTTGGTCAGACGAATGGAGCTCGTCTGTACCAATTACAGAAGGAGATATGCTCGATTACTCAGGGAAACTCTGACATAGCAGGTTATTACACCAGAATCAAGAGAGCTTGGGATGAATTGGCTATGGTTTCTCGTCTTCCAAACTGTACATGTGGTGCTGCGCAGGAACTTCTGAAATATGAACAAGATCAAAGACTTGTTCAGTTTCTAATGGGATTGAACTCTGATTATAATGTGACCAGAGGCAATATCCTGATTATGAGACCTTTACCTTCCATTCCAGAGGCCTATGGAATCCTTATCCATGAAGAAAGGCAAAGGCAGATTCAGTCCTCTACACACATCTCTCCAGAGCATACTTCTCTAAGTGTTCAAGCTCAATCATCATTCAAAGCAACGCATGAAGATAAGAAGATTCATGTGTGTGAAAATTGTAAGAAGAAAGGTCACAAAGTGAGCAAGTGTTACAGACTCATTGGCTTCCCTAAGGATTTTAAATTCAATAAAGGAAAGAAGATTGCTGCAAATGCTTATGGAGGGGAATGCAGTGAATCAACTGATTCCAGAACAGAAAGTCAGATTTCACCAGAGTTATGCAGCCAACTCATGAAATTCTTGAGCTCTATCCATGGAGATAAACTCAACTCTTCTTCAAATTCCATGAATCAAGCCTTTTCTGCTCATATGGCTGGTACACTTTTTTCTTCCTCTACTCTTTTGGATACTCATATATGTAGCATTGTGCATTCAATTGATGATTCTGCTTGGATATTAGATACAGGAGCCACTGATCATATATGTTCAAATCCCAATCTCATCACTAAACTCACAAACCTTCCTTTTCCTCACCAAATCACTCTACCAAATAACCACACTGTCATTGTTCATCAAAGTGGAGTTGATCATTTGTCTAATGATATTGTTCTGAGTGAGGTCTTATGTGTTCCAGACTTCAAGTATAATTTGTTATCAGTAGGAAAATTGTGCAAACAACTTAATGTACAGGCATGTTTCACAGAGGACCATCTCAGGAAGAAATCAGTAAAGGTTGGTAAAAGACAAGGTGGTTTGTACCTGACTCAAGCTCATCCACAGAACTCAAGATCCATCATCAATCACAATACATGTGTTTCATCTACTTCTGTCCAATCTTCTCAATGTTACAAAGCTTGTAATAATCTTGATGTACAAGTCTGGCATAAAAGATCAGGCCATTTGCCCTTCTACAAACTCAAACATATCTGTACATTTGATGATAGTGATTCTAATATGTTGAGTTGTTGTGACATTTGTCCTAAAGCAAGATTACACAGATTTTCTTTTCCTCATAGTCAGAGTCATACTACCCATATTTTTGAGCTTATACATCTTGACATTTGGGATCCCTATCATACCAAAACATATAATGGATTAATGGCTTCTAGTATTTTCTCACAGTTGTAGATGATTTCTCTAGGGCAACTTGGACCTATCTTTTGGCTTCAAAAAGTAATGCCCCTGACATTATCCAAAACTTCATAATCATGGTCAATACACAGTTTGAAAAACAAGTCAAAATCATTAGGTCAGACAATGCTTTGGAACTTGGCAAAAGCACATCTCTGTCCCAGTTTTTCCTTTCAAAAGGCATCATTCACCAAACTAGTGTTAGAGATTCCCCACAATAAAACGGTGTGGTGGAAAGAAAACATCAACATCTTCTTGAAACTTCTAGAGCTCTTTTTATCCAGTCCAATGTCCCTCACAAATTTTGGGGTGAGTGTATTCTTACATCAACATACTTGATTAACAGATTTCCTTCAAAACTCTTACAAGGCAAATCCCCTTATGAAGTCCTTTTTGGCAAAGCACCAAGATATGATCATATGAGAGTCTTTGGATGCTTATGTTATACCTCCACTTTGAAACAAGATAGGGATAAGTTTGATGATAGAGCTACAGCATGTGTTTTCCTTGGATACCCTTATGGCAAAAAGGCTTACAAGGTTTATAATCTCACCACACATAAAGTGGAAACCTCTAGAGACATTCTTTTCCATGAATCCATTTTTCCATATCATGACAAATCACTTCAGGATCCTCCTTTCTTTTCTAATCCTGACTGCACATATTCTATAGAGGATTCTTCTGCACATCAACACTTCTTCCCTACCTCCACAGAGAACCCCATTCCCACTTCAAATACCAACTCTAACACTTGTGCCAATGTGGTTCCTTCTTCATCATCCTCTTTGAGAAGATCCACGAGTTCATCAACCTCCTTCTCATCTTCAAGATTATGTTTGTCTTACATCTTCCTGTTTCAATTCCTCTTCTAGTTTCTGTGCTCCTACCCTTACTTTCACTCCTGTGTCTACTCACATATGCTTAGGGGCTCTCACCCAAGCAAGTCAAAAATTTTTGCATAGTGTTTCATATGTGCAGGAACCAAGGAGCTATGAAGAAGCCAGAAGTAATCCAGCCCGGCAGAAAGCCATGGACCTGGAATTCAAGGCACTAGAGGTTACTCGCACATGGGAGATTTGTGATTTGCCTAAAGGAAAGAAACCCATTAGCAGCAAATGGGTATATAAACTGAAATTTAAAGCTGATGGTTCTCTGGAAAGGCACAAAGCAAGACTGGTCATACGCAGTTGCATTCAAAAGGAAGGAATAGACTACCATGAGACATTCTCTCCAGTGGTCAAAATGACCACTGTTAGAGCCTTAATAGTCATTGCAGTCAAAAACCATTGGTCTATTTTTCAATTTGATGTCAACAACGCGTTTCTACATGGAGATTTGGATGAAGACATCTATATAAAGCCACCACCTGGAATGAAAATGTCTAATCCCTCTCAAGTTCTTAAGCTACACAAGTCTCTATATGGTCTTAAGCAAGCTTCCAGGCAATGGTATGCCAAGTTGTGTGCAGTTCTAAGATCTCAAGGATATGTTACCTCCAAGAATGACTATTCCTTGTTCACTAAGGTTACACCCAATTCAGTTGTCCACTTGGTTGTTTATGTAGATGACATTCTTATCACTGGAAATAACCTCCATGAGATTGATGCCTTGAAACAATACCTCAATGATCTCTTCAAAATAAAGGATTTGGGTCCCCTGGGCTATTTTCTAGGCTTGGAAGCTGTCTATAATAGTCAAGGTCTGATCCTAACTCAACACAAGTTCACAATGGATCTCCTTCAACAATTTCATTGTACTCCTGCAGCTCATGCCACATGCCCCTTGGAAAATAATATACAACTTCAAACTGGTGTTGGTTCCCCCCTTCCAGATCCTTCTTTGTACAGAACCTTAATTGGGAAGCTTAATTTCCTTACACACACAAGGCCAGATATAGCCTTTGCTGTCCAGTTTCTCAGCCAATTCATGCAAGATCCTCGGGTACCTCATTGGGAGGCTGCACAACATACTCTACGATATCTCAATACAAAACCTTCTCAAGGTTTGTACTTCAACAATTCCCCTAACCTCAAAATGAAAGCTTACTGTGACTCTGACTGGGCTGCTTGTCCAAACACTCGAAGGTCTGTTAGTGGCTTCTTCATTCTGTTGGGTGGATGTCCCATTTCTCGGAAGTCTAAGAAACAGCCCACTGTATCTCTTAGTTCAGCAGAAGCTGAATACAGATCTATACGCAGAGTCACAGCTGAATTGGCATGGTTGTCAAGACTCTTTGCTAAATTTCAGGTCCCAGATATTGTTCCCGTTCCAGTTAAATGTGACAGTCGTGCTGCTATCTATATTGCTACTAATCTAGTTTACCATGAACGCACAAAACACATAGAGCTAGACTGTCATTTTGTCAGAGAAAAGGTCCAAGAAGGGCTCATCATTCTCATTCATGTTCCTACTACTCAACAACTAGCAGATTTGTTTACCAAGAGTCTCCCAGGTCATTTGCATCATCAGATTCTTGGCAGGTTAGGGGTTCAAACACCCTCTAACTTGAGGGGGGGTGTTGGAATTACAGAGTTACAGAGTTAGTTTTGAATTTGTTAGAAGTTGGAAGTTGGTTAGCTAGATATTTTTCTTGTTATGTTTGTTACGGTAGTTAACAGTGTTTAGCACGTGCTTATTTTGTGTTTGCTATAGGCTGGCAGCCTCCTTTATATACCTGTACTGTTCCAATTTCAATTTGAGTAATGAAGAGAATTTTCCTTTCATTCTTTCTCCTTCTTTGTTTTATCTGCGCATCAATGAACTCCAACAGGAGAGTATGAGAGTATCAACTACTACACCATCGCGTCAATGTCCAATGGATGTTCGCAAGTATGCAATTGAAAAAGAAATGAAAAGGGGGAAAGAAATTCATTTGATCTATGCTAATAGAAAATTGAACTGTTTCGCATTTATACTCCTAAAGCAAATGCATATTATAGGCATTTTATCAAACACCTTCTGCTCAACTCATATTCCAAAAGCAGTAAACACATAATGACTTACCAAAGAAGTCTCCCTTAAGAACTTTTGCAGCTTCTCTCTCAAATTCATTATCCTGCAAAGTGATTTCAAAATGTCAATGAATCACCATAATCACAAGATTGAAATCAATATTCTGTGCTTCTGCTGCAAGAACCATTCTTAATAATAAAAAAGAAAAGGCAAATCAGAGGCAATAAACTATGTCCAGAAGAATTAACTACAATCAAGATGATTTGTAGAGAGTGATCTGAAATACAAAAGCTATGAGCAAAAACAAACATCTCCTATATCAGATTCATCCTACTCCAAAGCCATCTCATCAAAATCAAAATGAAAAACAAAAAAGTGAAAATGATTGGTTCTGTTTCTGACAAAATCATGTCTCATACACACGCACACTAAAATTTCTTGTAAAAAGAGAAATACCGCGAAATTCCTTTCAGTAAACGACCAACAAATTTGTTTACATTTAAAAATTAAATCTTTAATAAATAGAGTACGGAGTATAAAATTTCACTTTCATATAAATCATTAGAAATTAATAATATACTCCTTCCGTTTGAAAAAATCTTTCCCATTTTAATTTGGAAAAAAAATAAGGAAGTGTTAAATTATAGTTGATTTCCAATTTTGCCCCTGATATGATAGGTAAAAGTAAGATGTGATAGATAGATTATTAAAGAAAAAGTATGATGTGATAGGTAGGGTATGAAAAAAGTAAGGATAAAAGTGGTTTTTTAATATAAAAGGGAAGTGTTTTGTTGGAAGTGAAAAAAAAATGAAAGAGGAAGTATTTTTGAGAACGGAGGGAGTACAACTTTTTAACAATTTTGACTCATGATTTTCTCATTTCATTTATTTTGTTTTCAAAATAAAATTTTAAATGTTATTATTTTAGTTTTAATTTTTTAAACTTTTATTTTTATTTTTTTATACATTATTAAATATATTTCAAGAAAAATGAAAAAAAATAAATTTTCTAACAACTAAGTCCAAAAGCTACTCCTCTTAACATTTTAGATTTTGGCTTTTGAAAAAATCATTAACCAAACAATAGATTTGGTTGTTCGTTTAGTCAAAACAAATCAAAGTTAGTCAAAGATACCCAAAGCTATTTAAAAAACTGTTTCAAACACATCTAAAATTTATGAAAATCTAAGTGTATTCAATTAAGATTTTTAAAAGTTATTCAAGAAACTATAAAAGTCTAATAGTACTGAATTCAGATTTTAAAAAGTGTATAAGAAATCTGAGGCATTCAAAATATTATAAAAGTCATAGACTTTGAAGAGTCGATCATATTTATGGACTATTAACCCATTTTTTATACATTTTTTCTCCAACATTGCCCAGCCTTATGAGTTGGTATTTTCTTTGGATTTTTCTTTTCTATTTGGATGACTCCAGGAACTTATGCATTTTTTAGAGTTCTTCCACCTTAAATTTTTTTAAACAAAAATATGTTTTCTTTCATTCTTAATTTTTTAAACCAAAAAATATGCTTTTGAATTAAAAAATTATTTTAATTATTGAATGACATGAGAAATATTAACATACGTCCATGTCAAATTATAATAGATTTTTTATTTTAAAAAATTCAATATCAAACTTGTATGAGTTGTACCATGTTTCTATTTTTCAATCTGCAACTAGTTTTTAAACTTTTTTAATAATCTAAACCTTCTTTTTGAATTTTTTCTGTTCAAAGTTTTCTAATTTACTACTTAAGTTCCAAAATAATTTACTTATTTACTTTTACGACTTTTCAATAATTTTAGTTTATTTGCATGTTTTTCTTGATTGTTTGATAAAATTAAATATTCTTGTCGTATCTTGTTTCTTAGAATTGTGATATAACTTTCAAAAATATGTAATTTTTATTTTTATTCCTATATTAATTTGTAAGTAAATTTATTTTTAAAATGACAGAATTTTGCACGTCGTTCAAATAGGGAATACACCGTATCATCTTAGGACACAGGAAGTATGTTTTTTGCTGTACTAAATTTATTAAAGTCTCGCAACTCTTTATTTCTATTTAAATTTGAAATCGTGTGCACTAAATAGTTTCTAAATAAATCTGAACAGCAAAAGTTTTAAAAGAAATAGATCTAGAATTCTAGGCCAAATTGCTCTCGTCATATCCCATGTGGTTTGAAAAATGTGCATCAATGCCTCATCTATTTTTAAAACTCATATCTAAAATCCTCGTACTTTAAAAAAAATTTCACTCACACTCCCTCTGAACATTTTCCGATCACTTTCGGGTCATTTTCCGGCGAAGAAGGGCATTGGTGCTTATTTTACAAACCACATGGGGTAACAGAGCTCATTCCTTATTTTTCGTTTACTTTTTTTGGACTTTTTCTTTTTTTAACTCTTTTTTCATCTCATTATTTTAAATTTCTTTTCAACATTTTTATACTGTTTAAATTGTTGGTGTTTCAAATTTAAAAAAATTAAAAAATTGATATGTACTCCATCATTAAACATTTTCATTTTTTTCTAGAATAAAAAAAGAGAATTTCAAAAAAGAAAATCTGGGATAAAAAATAAAATTAGGAAAAACAAATGAAAATATAGAGACATACAAAAAATACTCTTGAACAAAAAGAATTTTCGGAATGTCTAAAAAGTCCTTAGGATTCGGATGTCCAAAAAACGATATTCATTTTCATTTTTTCTTTCATTTTATTTTCTATTGGATTCCTCTTTTTTGAAGTCCAAAAAAAATTACTTTTTAATTTTAAAATAACAATAAAAAAGATAAAGTATATGTTAATTATATTTTATTTCAAACAGAAAAACCTTTAAATTTTAAGAAAATCATTTAAAAAATTTATAAAAACTAAAGAAACTTTCATAGATAAAAGAAGAAAATAGAGATAAAAGGAAAAAAATAAAAAAAAGAAAATTAGAATTGAGTAGCGGTGTCTCCTATGATCTGGAAAATAGGCACCAATGTCCCCTCTTTGTCGGAAAAACCATCAGAAAATAATTAGAAGAGATGTGGGTGCACGGTTTTAAAACCACAAAGACTTTAGAAATAAGTTTATAAAACAGAGAAGGTATTGAGACCGGCCTATTTTCCAAACCACATTGGGTATCACAGCAATTTGGCCTAGAATGCTTGACCAATAAGTAAAACACAAGAAAATTATGAATGAGATTATTTTGAAACACAAAATCAACAAAAAAAATTCTAAAAATGAATGATAATTGTGTCATGCAACTTATATAAAAAATAACTCAAAGAAAAAGCAATGATGAAAATAGTTAATTTTATATATAAATCTATATACAATACACCCCCTTAGTTAATACAGTACTAGATTCATACCCATGTGTTGCAGAAAAATATTTTTTCAGAAAAATATTTTTTTCAAAAATTTTAAAATTGAGAACTTAAGAAGATAATAATCTGAATTCAAATATATAATTAAAACGTAAAATCATCATGGCATATGGTTATATCGATTAGTGTAAAGTATATAAAACTCTTTCAAAGTGAGCACTCTTATGTTAATGCACATATTGAAAAACACATCACCCATTCTTAATTCTCTAAATAGATTAGAAATGATAAATCTTTATATATTAAATTTGAGGGTTAAACTTCTAGAATTGCGACAAGTGCCAAATCTACATGGCAATATTTTAACAAATCACCCGCCACCTATTAACGATTGAATGCCGTGGCAATTTTAATCAAAATATGGGTATGATTGTGTAAATATAGCTAGGTGGGTTAACCGGGTTTGACCTGGACACACTCGACCCGTAGTAAAATACACACAACAAGAACACAAAGTATGACCTAAACCGGGTAAATCTCCTCAATCCGAATTATATTTCTTACTTTGTCTCAAGAGTGAACTTTTAGTGAGAGAAAAATTGGATCCCCTCCTCTATCAAATATCATCATATTTATAGAGGAGGATTTGTGACCTTTCCCTGTTCATCCATGGACAAAATAGGAAACTCGTGGGAAGGTCACTGTAGTTAATGGGAACACTGTACAATCATTGATTTGAATATCTACAAGCCAAGACACTGTTCAATCAAAGACTATAAATGGATATTCTCAATCCAATCAACCCTGCAAGGTGACAAATATCTCTTTCACTGTATGCCTCGTGATGGATGAGCGGCGGGGTGGTCCCTCGATCTTTGACGTGGTTCACCATGCCTGAGAGACTGGACCAATGTTTTCCAAGTAAGATGATATGACCGGTCACCTTTTCTCAAAGGTTAACCGGTCAATTCTTGAGCTCAACCCATCTCTTTGGTCTTCCGGAATATCTTTCGTAATATTAGGTGATATTTTGGCTATCGCCCAAAATGTGACCAGTCATTTTTTTAAGAAAAGTGACCGGTCAACTTTTGACCCGTCTCAATCGAAGAGTTAACTTCCTATGGTGATTGATAAAAGTGACCGGCCATATTTCGACCTGTCCCTTTCGGTTATCCGGGTCGGGTATAGGGATATACCCATCAAGAAGTCCTCCACTTACCGGCCTTGTGAGGAAATCGCATCAAGGGCGGGAAGTATATTTATGTTGACCTATCACTTTTGAAATCTTCAAGTCATTCCCATGACCTGTCCTTTGAAATCATCAAGTCTTTCCCATGACCTGTCCTTCTTTGAAATCATCAAGTCATTCCCATGACCTGTCCTTCTTTGAAATCATCAAGTCATTCCCATGACCTGTCCTTCTTTGAAATCATCAAGTCATTCCCATGACATGTCCTTCTTTGAAATCATCAAGTCTTTCCCATGACCTGTCCTTCTTTGAAATCATCAAGTCATTCTCATGACCCGTCCTTCTTTGAAATCATCAAGTCATTCCCATGACCTGTCCTTCTTTGAAATCATCAAGTCATTCTCATGACCTGTCACTTTTGAAATTATCAAGCCTTCCTCTCGGACCTGTCACTTTTGTATTATTGGGAAATCCAAATGTAAACTCTAAATAATTAACCAGTCTTCTGCCATGTAAGCCCTCTTAGTCCTCCTAGAGTACCCGGTCAAGTTCCCGGTGCACACCCCTTCAAGAGTACCCGGTCAAGTATCTGGTTATATGATGCAAATCTCATATGATAACTGGGTTAAGTCACAAGAGTGGAAGGGTTTACATAAGAGTTCTCGGGAGGGTTCTAGGAAAAAGAAGGTTGACCCTCTTCAAATGCAATGGTCACTAATTAAGGAGGCTTTCATGGTTCGGACGCATTCCTTTGTGCCTGGTTGAACTTCTTGAATGGTTAAGTTTCTTGCATGGTTATTTTCTTTCCTGGTCCCCCTTTGAAGTTGACTGGTTAGACTTGCATGGTTGTTTTCTTGCTTGGTCCCCCTCTATGGAAAGATTTTAAGAATGTCCAGGTCATCTCATGTCCTGGTCTTGAAAACATTCAGGTCTAGTAAGCTCTGTTGAAACTTTTATTGGTTGAAACTTTTGAAGGACTTCCAGGTCTAGTAGGTCTTGAAAACGTCCTGGTCTATACTTTTATTCTCATCAACTCCTTAAAACGTCCAGGGCAATTTGTGCAAGTCCTGAAAACGTTCGGGTCATCTCATGTTCTCGTCAAGTGCAAGTCTTGAAAATTCTGGATCATCTCATGTCCTTGTCAAGTGCAAGTCTTGAAAACGTCCGGGTCATCTCATGTCCTGGTCAAGTGCAAGTCTTGAAAACGCCTAGGTCATTTCATGCCCTTAAGAAACATTTTAAGAACGTCCAGGTCATCTCATGTCCTGGTCTCCAGACTTGAAAATATCCAGGTCACCTTGTGCTCGACTTGTCTTCTGATCCAGTTTACTTCCAGGTTGAAATGTAATAGACGTCTAGGTTGAATTTTGTCCTGGTCCAATCCCAATGGTTTGGTCTTGTTACGTCACCAGTCTTGCCTCAAATTTCTGTCCAGGTGCCGGGTCAAAATGTGACCGGTCAAAAATAAGTTTTTCCAAAGTTGTCTGATTTCATCAAATCCGAAAATTAAAAAGTGACCGGTCACTTTTTCCAAAGTTGACTAGTCAATTTTAAAATTTTTCCGTCCTCCTTTTTTTGTCAATCCAGAACGTTAAAAAAGTGACCGGTCACTTTTCAACCATGCCCTTTTTTCTTATATGCATTTGGCCTGCGTGTCATGTTTCAACACCGAACTTGATCGAACTTCGAATGAATATTTCGAAATAGTTTTTACTTCAAGTCTCAACATCAAGACCTGACCCATCTTTAGAGATTTTGACCATGTCTTATGATCGCGAACCCTCTCCAAGGTCCAGCCTTCTTCCAGGCAACACCCTTCTTCTAGGGCCCCTCTTCCAGGTTTTAAGTCTTTTAATGTGTCATTCTCTAATTATTAGGTTGACCTAGCCAACCTAATATTCCCACATGGGGGTATGCCGGTGAGAACCAGCCCTCATCCAATCCTGCACGTCTATATATTATGTGTTCGGAAATTCTAGTCTTCCCTAGACATTCCGATCCACAAAGGATGGCTCATACAAGACGGTAATATATTTTTTTGGCATCTTTTCTAACCCTTCCCGACCAAAAAATTGGTAGGGATCCATGTAAGTATGGATGCGAATCCTCTTCCGGATCCAGTCTGTCTCAAGGCGATACCTCAAAATCAAGGCCCCTATCTCAAGGGTTTCTTTTTTTTGCTATCAGCCCATGCAACGGTCCAGGTCTTAGACATCAAGACTGATCCGTCTACAGCAAGCTTAGTAATCTTGACCACATCTTATCCACCCTCTCTTCTTTCCTTGATCATATTCATGTGGGTGGATTCAAGTACTCGCCTATGGGTCTTCCTCAAGCCCCGTAACGAATACTTCATCCAAGTCCCCTTTCAAGGTCATCTCCTTGAGCACAGCCTTGACATTTCGGCAGTCTGCCGTGTTGTGGGAGTCAGATTGGTGATAGGTACACCACTTCTCTGTCCAAGGCCACTTGGATTGTTCTCCCTTCTTCTCATCCCTAATTTGGTGGACCGTCCCATCATATGTGGTCCTTGGCCTGGACCCTCCCATATGGTCGTCCTTCTTTGGCTTCTCGGTCTTGACCTCCATATAACCTTCTTCAAGTTCTCGTTTTCTCTTGTTTAGGACCTCCGCCTCCGCATACTCCCATGCCGTATTGTAGGCTTCCTGATAAGAGGAGGGTGGCCTTCTACAAAATTCAGTGTAGAGGTCACCCGACCGGAAGGCATTCTTCAGCAAAGACATGGCCGTCTTGTCGTCCATCTCTTCTACTTTGTCAACCTCGTCCCTCCAGCGAGTTAAGAACTGGGTGAGGGACTCCTTCTCCCTCTGCCCTACCGCATTAAGGTAGGTAAACTTCTTCCTCTTGATGCAATTGTCCTGGTACTTCTTGCGAAAAACTTCAGCAAGTTTCTCAAAGGACCCGATCTTACCATGAGGAAGGCTGTTAAACCATTCCACTGGCCTCCCTCTCAACGATGAGAAGAAAAGCAGGCATTCTTTAGCATCGGTACACCCGGCCATTTGCGCTCCATTATGGAAGGTGTCAAGGTGGACGTTTGGATCCTCCTTTCCAGTGAATTTCTCCACGTCCAGTTTGACCTTCTGCCTCAATTTGTGTGCATGTACCCTGGCCGAAAAAGGTGATTTTTCCAGGGTGTGCTTCTTTGCTCCTGCCTTCTCTTCTACTTTTTCCTCCAGGACGCGTAGCTTTCTTGCTACGCTCCCTATCTTGTCCAGGTCATCCTCATCATATGAGAGCCTAGCGTATGCCGACGCTCTGGGTTGACTTTCGGCCTCTTCCTCGTCTAGGTGAATCGTCTCAGATTCCCTAGAACGACGAGATTGGGCAGGACGATTCCTGCCAAGTCTTTCCATTGCGCTAGTCCAGCCCATCTCAGGACCAAGACGTAGCTTGGCAGACTTGCGGGGTCCATCCTCTTTGTCCCCTAGGCGTTTGAACGCCAAATCTCGGGTCTTGCTGGGTTTGGCTATAGCCTTACCCTTCCTCCTGCGGGCTGCCTCCTGCTCCGCCTCATCGACCTCATGGACATTCGAGGGCGCTGCTTCATTCATGGTCCTCGGACGTATAGGGACCATTCTAGGAACGAATGTCGATGGCGTCGAAACCGGGGGTGCCATAGGACTCATGACTGGTGGCATCATGCCGGGATAGGCAAATGGCATGAAGCCCCCTACCTGTTGCATCATGGCCATCACCTGTTGATAGCCCTGTAGAGCCTGAGCATTCGCCGGGTTAGCAGCAAATTGAGCCTAACTTGACGGGTATGGTGTGAATGCTCCCCTAGGCGTTGTTATCGAGCCTGGGAACATTGTTGTCGTTGGCGTAGGAGTAGGGGTTGACATGATTAGGATCATGCCAATCGATCTTACAGTGGTGATCGGGGCAAAGGTCGTCCCCATGCTCGTTATCATCAGTGGGATGGCAGGAGTGCTTTCACTCGCAGCCTGGCTTAACATAGTGTTGTGGTTGCTTGAAGACATGATTGTGGATATTTAGTGGGGGTAAATTTTTGACCTGGTCGAAAAACTTTTACAAATCGGTCCCACGGAATACGCCAAAAATGATGGTGTAAATATAGCTGGGTGGGTTAACCGGGTTTGACCTGGACACACTCAACCCGTAGTAAAATACACACAACAAGAACACAAAGTATGACCTAGACTGGGTAAATCTCCTCAGTCCGAATTATATTTCTTACTCTGTCTCAAGAGTGAACTTTTAGTGAGAGAAAAATTAGATCCTCTCCTCTATCAAATATCATCATATTTATAGAGGATGATTTGTGACCTTTCCCTGTTCATCCATAGACAAAATAGGAAGCTCGTGGGAAGGTCACTGTAGTTAATGGGAACAGTGTACAATCATTGATTTGAATAGCTAGAAGCCAAGACACTGTTCAATCAAAGACTATAAATGGATATTCTCAATCCAATCAACCCTGCAAGGTGACAAATATCCCTTTCACTGTATGCCTCGTGATGGATGAACGGCGGGGTGGTCCCTCGATCTTTGACAAGGTTCACCATGCCTGAGAGACTGGACCAATGTTTGCCAAGTAAGATGATATGACCGGTCACCTTTTCTCAAAGGTTAACCGGTCATTTCTTGAGCTCAACCCATCTCTTTGGTCTTCCGGAATATCCTTCGTAATATTAGGTGATATTTTGGCTATCGCCCAAAATGTGACCAGTCACATTTTTAAGAAAAGTGACCGGTCAACTTTTGACCCGTCTCAATCGAAGAGTTAACTTTCTATGGTGATTAATAAAAGTGACCGGTCATATTTTGACATGTCCCTTTCGGTTATCCGGGTCGGGTATAGGGATATACCCATCAGGGTAGATCCAATTTAAGTTGTATACGTAGTATATGTCTTATGTACAACGTCGCTATAATTTTTTGAAAAAAATACTCTATATCAGAATATGAATAAACATGAAGAAAATACCAAAAAAAGTTATCTCCAAAATAAGAGCTACCAAACATTATGAGATTCCTTAGTTTCAAAAAAAGTTATTGGTAATGCATTTCTATCAAAAGACAATGTTTGTTCTATACATCGAGGTTAAAGTGTACAAAATTGACAAGAAAAGTCAACTGAGAAGATCAAATCCAAACACAGAGGGAGTATTTTTGAAGAAATTAGAACCTACATGAAATTTTATGCAATTGAGTGAGGAATAAAATTCATTTTTTTGTTTAAAAATTTTATAAAATAAACTTCTAAAATAATTAAAATAATATTATAAATTTTTAAAATTGACTTCTAAAATAATAGTTACATTTTTCACATAAAATTTTAAAATATTATCATGTAAAAATAATGACATGTATTTTACATCCAAAAATTGTTTCATTTGATATGAATTTATTTTTAAACAGCAAAACAAATATAGTTGCAAAGGTTTTCACAAAGAAAAATTACAAAAACATTTTAAAATAATAATAGGTATTTCACTTTTGACTTCATTGAAGTCACAACTACTACTTTTTAAAAAAACACAAGAAAATATTTGCATGGGATATATACAACAAAATAATATTTTAAAAAAAAACGAATCACATATTTTTCATACGTGAATTTTATCAAAATTCTAAATAGATTTTAAGTGGGGGATCAGATGCGAGGTCATCCTCATTCGAAATTTACTAGCGTGAACATGAGTGGCTAATAGAAGGACACAAAACATTAAGGTCCCCCTAAATGGAGAATTGGGATAAAATTATAATTATTATAACAGAGACCTAAATTAAAAGAAGGGTAATCCGAAAGGGTCATTTTGAAAAATTATTCTGCATTTAAATGTTGAAAATACCTAAATTTCTTCTATTGAATATCCATTTAACAAACATATACGGAGGACACTGGGTGAATAAATTTCAACTATAAAGTACTACATAGATAATTAATAAAGTACTACATAGATAAAGTACTAAATTTCCTAAATTTCAACTATAAAGTACTACATAGATTTCAAATATAAAGTACTACAAAGATAAAGTACTAAATTTCAACTATAAAGTACTACATAGATAAAGTATTACATTCGAAAAAACTATTTTGAGATTACTTAAAGAAATTTATAAATTATAATTAGGTGACTAAGAGCCTATTCTCTAGGACTGAAAAAAGAGCTGGATGTTGGAAGAAACTGGAAAAAACTAGAAGGAACTGGAAGAAACTGGAAAAAACTGGAAGAAACTGGAATAACCTGGAATAAACTGGAAAAAACATGAAAGAACTAGAAAAACTTCAAAAAATTGGAAAACCTAAAAAAAACTTTAAAAACATTTATTTTAAATTCTTGTTGTTATAAATTATTATTATTATTATTATTATTTTTATATTATTATATTATTATTATTATTATATTATTATTATTATTGTTATTATTATTATTAATATTATTATTATTATCATCATCATCATTATCACGTTATCTTAATCAATGCCTTTAGATACAAAAAAAGTATTTTTATTTTTTAAATACAAAAAACTACTTTTGCAAAAAACAAATAATTATAATATAAAGTTAGCATAAATATAAAAATATTAAATTTTAAAACAGTCTTTGTGGTTATATTGCACCTCAATTTATTTATGGAGTATTTATTATAAATAATATATTTGTAATTATACTTTATATATTACAAGATTTTGTTTTAAATATCAAACATGTCACGTAATGTAATAGTGAGATGAAAAAATAATTTATAAACTATATTTATGAACATAAGAGTTCTAATAATAATAATAATATAATCACATTAAAATATATCGTTTTTAGAGTAATTGGTTGAGAAATAGAAAAAGTTTGAAGAAAATGAGAATAGTTGGAAGAAACTGGAAGGAACTGGAAGAAACTGGAAAGAACTGTAAGGAGCTGGAAAAACTGGAGGAAACTGGAAGAAAGTGGAAGGAACTGGAAGTTAAAAGTTCAAGCCCTAAAGAACAGGCTCTAAAAGATTTAAGACTGTATATTTTCTAAGAGAATTATATGTGTCATGATTATGCACTTTATTTTTAGACAAATGGATAATGCGTATACTATGAGATTGACTCAATGCATATCTTACCTAGAACTTTTGTTTATGGTAAGATGACTAATTATGATATGAAATAAAAGTATTTCCATACAATTTGACTATTTTAAAATATTAAATATTTAAAATAATCAAATTAGAAAAGAGATTTAATGACTTTTGTACTTTATCTTGGTATTACTCCGTACTATTTTAATCAAAATAATCTTATATTGTAACTTACGATTTATTCATTACATACTTATATTGTGTTACAATTCAAAATGTTTGTACATAAAATTAAGAAATTTTAAATGAGAGATGACTTACTTCCTACGTTTTCATTTACGCAATCGTACATAGAAACTTCATATGATAATATTTTATGAGACGACACAGATTTATGCAAAGAAGATTGTAACAAAGAAGATCAAGATGTGGAGGGGAGCGTGAGAAGATTTGTGACAATGAAGATTTAGGATAATCAAAAAAGTAAGAAAATTTGCACAAAAATTCTATGGTGTAATAGCTAATAAGTTCGAGACTCAGTTACAGGTTACAAACACATCAAAGAAAATAAAATTTCCAATTTGTAACTATTGGTATTTTGATAAACATTTTATATATTGACTAGAATACTATCCCGACAAAATTATTAGAGCACTAACATTTTAATGTTTTTTAAAATCAATGTGGGGGAGAAGAATAATTGATTCTTAATATTTTAAAATTAAACATTTTAATCATAGAGATTTATGATCACCAATTTAAGGTTTTTTTAATAATGCAAGAAAAAATAATAAATTTGTAGAGATTTATAAATGTTTTAATTACTACCTCCGTCTCTGAGTATTTGTCTAGTTTTAACTTTTTCTGATTAACTGCTTTCAACAGTTGACTAATAATCAAATTATATATATATATATATATATATATATATATATATATATATATATATATATGTATAAAGTAGATAAAACAATATTTGAAAATGAATGATATAATAAATCAAATAAAACTAATTTTGTATCAATATCTAATATCATTTTTATTTAATTTGAGGTCAAAATTTACCAATTTTGACAAAAAATAGTTAAAAGTAGACAAATACTCAAGGAGAGAAAGAGTATATAATTATGAGGTTAGTAATTTAGGTTTTTAAAATTAATATAAGGAAAAAGAATCATTGGATCACTAATACTTTTTGTATTAATATATTTTTGAATTTATACAGGGAGAAAAATTATGGATTTGTAGAAATACATCAAACCTAGATCATTTATATTCGAACTTTGAATAATATGTCAAATAAAAATCAAGAACTACATTGTAGAATCGAAAAACAATTATCTGAACGAACCCGTGCGTGGCACGGGTAGAAATACTAGTTTTTTTCTAAACCACCAAAGATAAGAATATTGGTGTAAAGTAAAAATATGGCAATCTCTTCAAAAGATAAGTTCGTACAAGTACACCAAATATCCAAGCACCATTGTCACTTCGTCAAATTAACCAAATCAACTTCATCAAAAAGTAACAACATTTAGACCCAACACATTAACCAAATGAACTCCAAACATTCTTGCTTTGAAGATCTCTATTAATATTGTGATGAAGATTCCTGATTGTATTGGTTTTAGATTATAGATCTACCTAATCGACTATGTGCATAATTGTTTGATTCTTATAGTCCAATGTTCATTTGTTTGATTCTGAATTCATATGATTGTTTCATATGGGCTTTGAAGAGTTAGTCATTGTTTGACTGAAAAAATGGAAGGAAAGAAAATGAAGAGAAAAAATAGAGTGGAGAGAAAATAAAGAAAAACTGAAAAGAAAATAATGATTGTTTGGATGAGTAGAAAATGAAAAGAAAAAGTGAAAAGAAAATAATGATTGTTTGGATGAGTAGAAAATGAGAAGAAAAAGTGAAAAGTAAGAAAATGTGATAAAATAAAAATACATTTTCGTCCTTACCTTTTCTAAAAAGAGAGTGAAAGATAGAGATTAGTGACAAAGTAGTAATTTCACCCCGTTTCTCTCTAATTTGAGAATTTTCACGCCCATTAAGGAAAAGTTTTAACTTCATTTTCTCTCCCTTATTCTCTTCCTTAATTATTTTCTATCACATCCAAACAAAAGAAAAGACATAAGAATTTATCTCCAAAACCCATCAATTCCATCCAAACATAGGGTTAGTTTCCTCACGTCTGGCTTTTCCCCAATTCCTTAGAATGAATTCCTTTCTATTTGGGCAGCATGCATGTTTGCTGAAAAACATGATCACGTACAATGGTCAGAGTATTTCACAATAATAAGGAGCATCTCGGGGAGGATCTACATGTATGAATACGGGCCCACAGTCAATTTTTTTACTCTGTAATATACAGTATTAAAATAATTTTTTTGTTGAGAATTAAAAGAATGACTCTGAAAAAAATTAGTTTGCCCCCACAGTCCATTGACAAGAAAAATCTTACTCCCTCCGTCCTAAAATTAACTTCTCGTTTTCCTTTTTAGGCCGTCCTAAAATTAACTTCTCGTTTCCTTAAATGGAAAGTAAAAACACGTTAAAAGACACAATTGCCCATTCCTATTTTAATATGCATCTCTCATCTACCTAAAGCCACACACTACTCTTTCCTCTCAATGGATAAGCCTTCTTGATTTGGGCTTCTAGCAAACTGGGTGACAATATGATGCACAGGAGGGGCGCGGCTACTGTATGACAGTTGAAGCTTGAATCTCGGCCATGGATTCAGGTGATGTATGGCAATACAGCTTCTGACACTCCCGGCGTGGCTGATGCAGCGGTGGACAATTATTGAGTTTGGGTTGTCTTTTTGGTTGTTGTTCTTAGGGATTGTAAAGGGTATTTAAATTTATTCATTCATTTTGTTCAATCGGTGAGAAAAGCAGAGAACTTTTCTGAACTTCATATCAGAATTTTGTTTTTAGCTATTGGATTCACTGTTGGCTTGGATTGATGAGCCCTGACAATTTTAAACAATTACTGAGCTTCAATGAGAATCGATGAGGTCCAATGAGGTCCCTATGTCTGATCTGAAATCGGGCTCCCTCAAAGTAAATGCACATATCCGATGCCGTTCATCCAAGCTTCAGCGGTGGTGGATGAGCTCTGGTGAGGTATTCGTTGTTATTTGCGTATGGCAGCTGGTAAATGAAACCCAATTATTGGAAAGAAAAAGGTTAGATGGAGGGCATTTTGGGAAAGTCAACCTAATTTTAACACTTCCTTAAAAATCACCTCCGGTCAAAACATAGACTTAAAAACATTGACAAGAAAATCTTAGTTTAAAAGAAAATATTATATTATGTTATTATATATTTTTTATTTTATTTTTCTACTTTAAAAATAATTTTTTTATTTCAATACTTGTTTGAAATTAAATTTATTTATTTTTTATCATTATCAAACGCTTTAAAAAAATTAAGAGTGCCGCTCTTGGACCCCACCATACTTTTTACTGTGTCATTGCCCCGAGTCATATTTTTTAATTTGGGAAGAGTATTTGAATGAACAATCAAAATATGCTCTCAAATAGTATCAAAATATAAAATATAATTATTTTAATTTCTCTCTATATATAGTACTACTCCATACATGTTTTAATTTCTGTAAGTAGTACTTATTTAATTAATATACGCCGGAGTCCGAATTTCAATGTCTTACACTCTTACGACTGGTCCAGTTTCGGATGGACAATGTTCACAATGTAATGTTCATAGTCCTAAAACGGAGTAAATTTCACAAATGGTACCTGAATTTTAGCTGGAATTTCGAAGTAGTACCTGAATTTCAAATCCTTTCACAAAAATCCCTGAACTTACACAATACTTTCACTAATGAGCCATTAGCCCGTTTCTAGGTTAACTTCCGGTCATTAGGGCCAAATTCGAATTTTATATATTTTAAAATTTTCAATTTGACCCCATTTCTTCTTTTCTTTTCTTCCACGCCCCGCCGCCGCCGCCCGCCGGTCAAAGTCGCCGGAAAATGAACTTTTTCCGATTCCGGCGGGACCAATGTCATTCTCTTCGTCTTGAGACGAGGATCAAAAATATCCAAACCATTTTGTCTAATTTGGCCTGTAACTTCTCGAATCGGAATTTTTCTACTCGAAAAAACCCTAAAATTCGAAATTGGATCCAAAATTGGGGGTTTTGCAAATCTTCAACAAATCTTGCAATTGAGGGGTCCTTGGAGGTCGCCCGGATGCCACGACCGCATTGGCGTTGGTGCCCGCTGTCAATTTCGCCGGAGTTGGCCGGAAAAAACTCCGACCCGCCGGCGATTTCCGGCGGGTCGGAGCGTTTTCCGGATAAATCCTGCAATAATTGATGGCGGGCACCAACTCCAATGCGGTCGTGGCATCCGGGCGACCTCCAAGGACCCCTCAATTGCAAGATTTGATGAAGATTTGCAAAACCCCCAATTTTGGATCCAATTTCGAATTTTAGGGTTTTTTCGAGTAGCAAAATTCAGATTCGAGAAGTTACAGGCCAAATTAGACAAAATGGTTTGGATATTATTGATCCTCGTCTCAAGACGAAGAGAATGACATTGGTCCCGCCGGAATCGGAAAAAGTTCATTTTCCGGCGACTTTGACCGGCGGGCGGCGGCGGGGGGGCGTGGAAGAAAAGAAAAGAAGAAATAGGGTCAAATTGAAAATTTTAAAATATATAAAATTCGAATTTGGCCCTAATGACCGGAAGTTAACCTAGAAACGGGCTAATGGCTCATTAGTGAAAGGATTGTGTAAGTTCAGGGATTTTTGTGAAAGGATTTGAAGTTCAGGTACTACTTCGAAATTCCAGCTAAAGTTCAGGTACCATTTGTGAAATTTACCCTCCTAAAACGAGGGGAGAAGCTCATTTTTTACATTCTCTAATACTCCGTACAATATTTTGTCACACTTGGTTGAACCCTATTCTGATCTAAATATATCTATACACATCTTCTATCCTAAAACTATGAGTAAATTCCATAATTGGTCTTTTATAACAGAGGGGTTTCCCTATTTAGTCCTCAATTATCAAATATTACCTCAGTGGTCCTTCTTTTATAGGTATTTTTTCCATAAATGGTCCTTTTTTGATCTTATGTCATGTTAGTGTTAATTTGAAGGCTAAATATATAATTTGACATCAACATTATGTCTAGTGACATATTCTGATATTGGTTTAGCGGATAACACAAAAATAATAACTACGATTGTGGATTAGGATTCCAATGAAAGACCACATTTGTAGACTATGTTTGTAGTAGAAAGCGGCTGTAATTTACAAACGACGCAAACGGAACAGCTTTTGGAATTGTGTATGATAAAAAAGATATATTATCATTGTTAAATTACATTTTTAGCCCTCAAATTAACACCAACATGATAGAAGATCAAAAAAAGGATTATTTGTGGAAAGATACCTATAAAAGAAGGACCACTGGGGTAATATTTGATAAATGGGGACTAAATAGAGAAACTCCCCTATTATAAAGGACTAATTATAGAATTTACTATAAAACTATTCTCATTCGTTATTCATTGACTTAAACTTTATCTATTTTATTTACTTGATAAAAAATATAATCATGTCACATCTAGTTTCATAAATCTATTAATTTAATTTTTAAATATATAAAATTTATTTTTAGGTTCCACACCAATTTTCCAATAAATTTAATTAAAAATAATTTGAATCGAACATTGTGTTCCCTCCGTCCCCAAAAGATTGCCAGAATTTGAATTTTTTTGTCAAACTGTGGCACCCTTTGTCCACAAATTAAAAATAATTTAAAATAATTAAATATTTTAAAATATGATCTTTTAAAACTATATTTTAAAATAAATCCAATTTTTCTAAATTTACATTATAACAAAAAATACTTTTTAATTTCCATAATTCGCGGCCAAATGGTGTCACAGTTTGAACAAAATAGTCAAAATGTGACAATCTTTTAAGTACGAGAAAAGCAGAAGTATAGGGAGTATTGTTTATTTATTCAAACTTGTTACGGGACAAGCTAAGGGTACGTAGAACCCAATAAATGGGAACTCAAAAATCAAAATCCCTCTCGACTTAAAACAAGAACAAAACAATAAAAAAGAATTAAAAACTCAAAGAGAAGCCATAAATTAAAATTAGGCCAAAGCCTGCTGAATAGGAGAACACTTCGGCCCCTCCTGTGAAAAATCACTTGCTCATTGCATTCTTAACCGCGTCCGCTGCGCCTTGTGCCTTTGCCTGCATTTGCTGGCCCGCCTATGTCAAATAAAATATTACAAGCTTTATTATTTTATTTATATGATCAGTCATAAAGAAAAGAAAATTTGTTGTAATTAGCAGAAAATCAAATCTTAGCCATTTTATGAATATGAGACGGAGTGTGTAGTTAAAAAAAATGCTAGGATGCGTGCCCCTACGATTAACAATCACAGATGATTTATATATGCACGTACAGACGACGTGTGATAGATCGAACTGTAGTTAAATTAGTGTAAAGTGTGTGTTTCAGTGTGTCAAAGATAAGCCAGATATATGTATGTATGTATATATATATACTGACATCTTGAAGGGTTTCCTTTGCAGATTGGGCAGCATTGCTTGCCTTTTCCATCATCTGGTTGCCCTTTTCCTGGGATATAATTAATCAACAACAAGAAAATATTTAATTAATTTGTAGTGATACATACATATACCCAACACAAAAACCATTAGTAATTATTAGAAAGGGAAATAAAAGAGTTAATTGAAACATTATTATAACCTGAGCTTGGCCCTTGGTCTGGCCAGCTTGGTAGCTCATGCTCTGGGAGTTATCCATATATATTAATTTGAAGTGATAGATGATGCTTAATTTGTCTCTCTAAATTAAATCGTGTGCTTAGTATAATATATGATGTTGATGAATAAAAAAGAAATATGCATATTGTATCAATTTATAGCTTTATCAAACTCTAAAACGACTGGACATGCGAAAGTTAGGCACTTGACTAGGGAAACAGTTGGTGTGCTTCATCCATCCATATATGTAGCAGTAAATTAAGGGCCAAGGGTCTTTGAGAGGTTATTTTTTATTCCGTATTTATGTGGTGTTAAGTGTTAACTACTCTCTTGCTAATTCAAAATACGAAATATCTAATTAGAACTAGAATAAATAGACCTGGCAATCGGGTCAACCGGTTTGGATCTTTTCGATTTGGGTCTCTTTCGGTTATATGTTATAAATGGTCCGGTCCGGGTCGGTTTGGTTCAAGTCTGTTCGGTTCTGGGTTTATTTCGCTTTGACTGGTTTTTGGTTTCGGTTCGGGTTTGTATCGATTCGGGGCTTTATCGGTTCAAGTTCGTATCGGTTTAAGTTTATATTAATTCAAGTATATTTTACATACACCTTCCGTCCCACTCTCTTTGTCCACTTACCTTTTGGCACACCATCCAATGCACTTCTTTAATCAATTTTATCTTGTAATTTGTATATTAAAAAGTTATAGAAATTATATATTAATAATCTACTCCCTCCGTTCCTTAAAACCCTTCCGCCCTAAATTTTTGCGCACCTCATTAAACGCTTTTACTCCCACCTAAAATATCTAAAATATATCTCACTATGTAGTTTATTGCGAGTAGAAGTTGTTTTATGGGGTGCGCAAAAAATTAAAACGGAAGTGTTTTGTGGAACGGAGGGAGTATATGTTAAGACAAATCAAACAAGATCACACATGACTATATTTAGACTTATACATTGAGAGAATTTGATGAGTCAAAGTGCTTAGATGAACAGTTCCAAAAGTCTAAAGTGGACAAAGAGAGTAAGACGGAGGTAATATATACTAATAAGTCAATAATATCACCCAATAAATTTAGTCAATTTATGACATAATCCGTACTTATTATATTATTTAACATGGACGTACATAAAAAATAATACTTACATAATTGAATAATTGTTTACATTCTAATGTTTTCCCTCCTAAAGTTTTCGGCGCGACCTTTTTAGTTAACATTCTTCTTCGTACTTCCTCTATTTCTATTTAACTATCCATTTCACTTTGTGTGTCAAATATTTGAATAACTATATATAAAAATATACAATGAATATACAGAGTAAAAGTTATTACCAAATTATTGGTATCGAAAAATACATTAAATGTATTTTTTCAATATTTTTTGCTAATATTTTTGAAAGGACGATGTTTGTCAAACTTTAATTTCGAAGACGGTAAAATACAAAAATACTTTAACTTAAGTTACGGAGTAAAATGTTTGTACATGAAAATAGTTGCACGGTTTGCACCCATAACTTAAATATTTTTTTAGAAACACATCAACATATGTAAAAATATATTGCTAGTTCTTTTTCTCCAAGTTCATTTGATAAATGAAATACGGAGTATTAATGAATTTGAAAAATTCCAGGTCTAATCAGTTTCGGTCTAATCCGTTCCGAGTTTAACCGATTCGAGTTTAATTGGTTTAGGTTTGTTGGAACACGGGTTTACGCCTATGTCGTACTAAGCCGTGTTCGTTTTATGACAGGTTTTGATAATGCCAAACCGCCGTGACAATAACAAGGTTAAACTGAGCAAAACCAAGGCGAAGGAACATGGCATGATGAACTGAGAACCAAGAACCAAGAATTAAGAACGAAGACTTAGAATTGTATTGAGTCGGTTTTAATGTGATCAAGACCGGCACAAACATTCAAAACATGGCTCTCTAGGCTCATTTCATCAAAACATTTTTTGCATATTCAAAATGATTTTCTTAAGTCTTAAACCTGCCTGAAAACACTTGGAGTTCGCCCAAACCAAAAACCAAGCCATCCGGCGTTCGGTTTTCAGAAATCGGCGTTCGGCTCTCGGTTTTCGGCATTGGTTTTTGGCGTCCCAACCAACCAAATGGTTTTCAACTTTTTATGACTGGTTTTTACTTCTGGGAATATTTAAATAGTTCTCCAACAAAAACGTTTCAAAAACCACCTTTCGTTTTTGGTCGTTTAGTGAAAACCATGCGAAACGGCGTAAACTTGGTTAGCCATGGTTTTCAACTAAATGACGTGGTTTTCAAAATGTTTTACTTGATTTCTTAGCAAAATGCATTAAACAAACATTTTCAATACTTGGTTTTTATTTTGGAGAAATTACATTTTTGACATCGGCTAACGGCGTGACTAAACCAACCATGGGTCTTGCTAAACCAGCCCAACAACGATGTTGAGGTAACCAACAGCGCTGTCTGGCTTGGGTAGCTAAAAACATGGTTTGGCGTTAAGTCCTCCAACAGCGATGTTGGACATTAGACATCGCTGTTGATGCCAAGGTTGGATTTCCAGAAACTTCTGGAACAGCTATGTAGGCTTCCCTACAGCGCTGTCCAACCCAAGCCAAAGATATTGTGCATTGGCAGAAAGTTTTTGGACAGCGATGTTGACCCAGAAACAGCGCTGTTAGGGCAAACTTCCATCTTCAAAGGCAGACCTAAAACACGATGTTCTAGTATGGAACATCGATGTAGAGACCTGACCGTGGGAAGGAATTTAAGGCTAAAACTTTCCTTGTTTGGAAGTCAACAACCAAAACAGCGATGTAGGGATTTTAGACATCGCTGTTGGCATGACCGTTGCTTCCCATTTTACTCATTTTCCACTCTAAAAGAGAGTATTGTTCTTGAGTGTTTTTAGTGTTCTTAAACACTTGACAAGAGAAGGTATTTCTCTTGTTGTTCGAAGGAAGGGCTGTTTCCTTTGAAGGTTTGTTGAGGTTCGTGTGACTCGAATTCTCAAGTTGTACGGGTTTGTTAAGCACCGTTAAGCTTAACGAGGTAGTAGTGTAGCTCGAGAGAGTCTCTCGGGAGGCTGGATTAGCCACAAGTTGTGGTGAACCAAGGTAAAATCGGTGTGTCTCTTACTCTTTTCTTTACTTTTCATTTATTCATTTTTTATTCCTGCGATTTTTGATCAAACGCTATTCACCCCCCCTCTAGCGTTAGTCTCTTATTCTAACAATTGGTATCGGAGCCTAACTCGCGTCCAAACTTAACCGTCTGAGAGTAAAGCGATCATGGGCTCTACTTCTAGAAATCTCTATGCAGGAATTGGAGAAGGTCAATTAACTTCTAGGCCACCACTCTTTGATGGCACCAACTACTCTTATTGGAAGGAACGGATGAGAATCTACATTCATTCCACCAACTTCCAATTGTGGTTGATGATAAAAAATGGCGAGGAAATCCCTATGAAGAAAGTGGGAGAAACCACGGTCCCAAAGACCGAAAACGAATTTGATGCCGAGGACATCAAGAAGATTGAAAACTATGCAAAGGCCATCAATATGCTATATTGCGCGGTCAACCCCGATAACTACCGAAAGATCTCCTGTTGCACAACCGCCAAGGAGATGTGGGACAAGCTTGAAGTGACGTACGAAGGTACCGATCAAGTTCGCGAAGCCAAGATCGATTTTCTCACCCAAGAGTACGAAATGTTTCGGATGAAAGAAGGTGAGAAAATTGATGACATGTTCGACCGTTTTTCAAAGATCATCAACGACCTTCATGCTCTCAAAAAGACTTACACCAACAAGGATCTCGTGAGGAAAATCCTGCGAAGCCTCACACCCGAATGGAGGTCAAAAGCCGATTCAATCTATGAATCCATTGGAGTCTCCAACGTCACCATCGACGGGCTAAGAGGTAACCTTAAAACCTATGAATCTACTATTCTAACCCCGTCTTTGGATGAACAAAAGAAAAAGGGGATAGCTCTCAAAGCCACCAAGGAACCGGTGGAAGAGGCTTCAAGCGATGACGACAATAAATTTGGGCTCGTCATCAAGAAGTTCCACAAGTTCATGAAGAAGGAATTTGAGCGGAAGGGAAGGAAGCACGGCGGTCCTCCCAAGTGCTACGGCTGTGGTGAGATTGGACACATCAAGCCAAGGTGTCCAAAGGCCAAACACGGCAGGGATAAGCCTGGCTTCAAGAAGCAAAGGGCCTACATCTCTTGGGGTGGCGATTCCGGCGACGAATCAACCGACCAAGAGGAGGACGAAACTGCAAATCTCCGCCTCATGGCGCACAAAGATCAAAGCGACGACGTCCAAGAGGTATGTAATATTTCTTCCGACTCTTACACTTTTGAAGAAATGCAAGAAGCACTACATGAACTTTATGAGGAATTTGTTAGCGCTTCTAAAACAAATAAATCCCTGAAGAAACGACTTTCTTTACTTGAAAATGATTTTGAAAAATTGGAAAAAGAAAATGAAATACTTAAACAAGAAAACAAATTTTTTGGAAAAAGAAGCGCTGACAAACCAGAAAGCTCATCGAGTGAATGTGGGTCTTGCAAAACTTTAAAAGAGCAAGTCGCTAAACTTGAAAGCACGGTCAAGAAATTTAATACTCCTCACAAAGACTTAAATTTACTTCTTGACACAATGCATTTTTCTAAGGAAGGAATAGGTTTTGATAAAACTAAAGCTAAAGATAATGTTGAGCCACCACCTAGACAATCATCTAAGGTTCAACATAAGAAACCTAAAAATGAAGATAATAGAAAACCTAGTCAACCGAAGGACACTAGACAACCTAGACTAAAACCTAGGAATGAAAATGGTCATAGTAGACAACTTAAGAAAAATGATTTTGTGCATAAAAATGAATTTTCTCAAATAAGAAGAAATAATGCTAGAGCACCTAGAAGAGGCCAATTTCAAAATTTCCAAAAACCATCATTTTCACAAAATAGGAACAAAATGGTTAAACCCTCTAACTATTATGAACCTAGGCACATGTACAACCCCAATGTAGTTTGCCATTATTGTAATAGGATAGGTCATATTGCTCCCGTTTGTTACACTAGGCATAGGCACCTATCACAAAATCAAGCACACTACCATTACACACCTAACACCCGAGGACCCAACGTAAATTGGGCACCTAAAACTCATTGATGTGTTTCATAGGTATGCTTGAAGGCATCAAGTGTACTTTGGTACCTTGATAGTGGATGCTCCAAATACATGACCGGGGATGCATCCAAGTTTCTCCAAATCAAACCTGCTAAAGGAGGAAACATAGTTTTTGGAGACAATAGCAAGGGAAAAATTATCAGTGTTGGTTCAGTAGGTAAATCTGAAAACTCCTCTATAGATAATGTCTTGCTTGTTAAAGGTCTCAAACACAACCTCTTGAGCATAAGTCAATTATGTGACAAGGGAAACCGTGTGACTTTCGATTCAAAATCATGCACGGTAGAACGCCTTAGCGACAATAAGGTCATTCTACGTGGTGATAGAATCGATAACATTTATATGGTTAACTTAGACAAATCTCCTTCCGACTTTGCTAAGTGCCTCATGAGTAAAGAGGAAGACACTTGGTTATGGCACCGAAGGGTAGCTCATATGAACATGAACCTTTTGAACAAATTGGTTTCACAAGACTTAGTAATTG